GTCACTTTTTTGAAGAGATTGTACTGTAAGGATCTCAAAACTGTAAAAACATTGAACATACGCCAAAGCAATGCAGAGATATGGTGCTTAAAAATCTGAAAAATCCGCCATTTTGTTACTAAAAATAGATTTTTTTTGAAATTCGAATTGCCATATCTTCGGACTGCCTTGTTGTATGTTCAATGTTTTTGCAGTTTTGAGATCCTTATGAGACAATCTCTTAAAAAAATTTACTGGCATGTTCTTAGCTGCTGTTTATTTTTTTGGCGCCAAAGTTGGAACGTTATTTTCCCGCCAAATGTAACAATATCGAAAAACAAAAAACATAGGATTTTCAGGAATGTCAAATTCCATCCTGTCAGGAAGTTTCGTGATATTCCGAACTAACGACAGAAAGTTATTCGACCCTTGCCGAATTTCATGTCTTCTACGGCCACCGTGAGATGGGAAAATCGTTTTCTACCCAGGTAAAGTTCGGTAATATAGTTCATGATTGTGTTGTACAAGCTGATCCTGTTGTAACGTTGTCGGATATGAGAAAGGCTATTGAAGACACTAATGTTATACTTAATACTGCTATTACACCTGGAATAGTTTTAGTTCCGTCTAGTTTGATCACTCTAAAGAAACATATTATTGGATATAACAATGTGCTTGTAAATGCTACCTTTGATATGAAGCGTGGTGTTAACACAAATCTTAGCTATGTAGGTGTTAAAAAGCCTGATGCCCCCAAAAAGCAGCATCAGGATACCACCCCAGTTGGTCACCTTGATACACTTAGTGGATATGTAAAAAGTCAAGCAAAACCTAAAACAGCTACACCACCCGTTCGTAACACGTTGGTTAGCAGTGGTGAAACAGTAGGTAGTAGTACTCTGGTGGGGTTCGGAATTGGTTCTATTTCTGTGTTCATTTTGCTGAAGATGTTTTTGTAAACATTCTGTATGTTATAAAAATGGCTCTCTACCGGGCATATGTTAAGGAAACAAACGGTGTTGATCGATCAGGTGGTAGTGTGTTTAATAAGGATGGATTTACCATGAAACGAGACATTGAGATGGATGGAAATGAGGTTAAGGGTCTGGGTGCACCAACTGATAATACTTCCCCTGTGTCAAGGAAGTGGGTAGATGATAAGATAGTCAAACAGGCCTCCGTCACTATTCAACCTGCAGGGTTCACTATGACTGGGAATATTGATATGGGAAATAATAAGGTAGTCAATCTTAAATCCAATGGGGGTGACTTCAGTGAGGCGGCTAATGTACAGTATGTGCACACGTATTCATGGAACAACTATCTTGCCACAAATGGTTTCAATAAGATGAAAGGTGTACTGAATGCGGGTGGATTTGAAGTACAGGGGCTTCCCACAACTGCAAGTAGGAATGATAGTGCAGTTTTTCGGTTCTACTTGAATCAATGGGCAAATGTTAGGTTCCTTCCGTTGGACGGTTCAAGGTCAATGTCAGGTAATATTAGCATGGCCTCCAATGAAATAGTGACACTAGGTGATCCTACAACAGGTAAGTCTGCAGTTAACAAGGATTGGGTAATTAGCATGCTAAATAAACCTGTGACTGGAATTAACATTTCTGGGGACATTGATATGAAGGACCATGAGATTAAGAACTTAGCTGATCCTACAGACGACAGTTACATCAGGATTCATTTTAAATGGTGATCTGACCGTTGCAAATGGTAATTCAATCTATACGATCAACAACCTTGGTGCAAAAATAGCTGTTCCCAATATTCAAACTGTGATTAACCAAATTTCACGCTTTGCCTTGAAATTGGACGGTTCTAGTACAATGACAGGTAGTCTTAAGATGGGTGGTAATGAAATTAAAAACATTGGTGCTCCTAGTGCTGATACAACAGCTGTGTCTAAAAAGTGGACGGTTACTTCGATTTGCTCTATAGTCTCCAACTACCTACCGCTATCAGGTCAGGGACTTATAACTGGCAATGTTTTGTTTAACAGTACAGAAATACTTGGGATCCCACAACAGACCAGTCGGCGGTGAATAAAAGATGGATATTGAATACTATTAATAATGGTAGAAGTAGGCGTCATACTTATGGAGGTCTTACACTATCTGATGACCTTGACATGGGAAACAATGAAATAGCAAATTTGGGTGCTCCCACCACTGACAGTTCTGCGGTTTCAAAAAAGTGGGTTACCGATCATGTAAGCGGAAGTTCTCTCACTAGCGCCGGCTTCACTATGACAGGCAATATTGACATGGGAAGGCATAGTATAACGGGTCTTGCAGGGGGCTCTGTGGGAGACACAGCTGCACTGTCAAGTAAGACGTTGGACACCTGGGGCTTACAGTTCATTAAGCGTGACGGTTGTACGTTAGCAAGTAACCTGGATGTTAACAATTTTGAGTTAACCAAGGTGGCTGACCCTACAACTGACGGTTCTGTTGTTTCCAAGAAGTGGGTCGGTAATATGTACCTACAGAAGACAGGTGGATTGGTTGAAGGAGACTTGAATATGGGAGATTCAAGTGATATTGTTAACTTGCGTGATCCCACTAATGCGAAGAATGCTGTAAACAAGTAATGGGTTGAAAATAATTTCCTGAAACCTTCCTCAGGTCTTGTCCAGGCGACAGCTGATAATAGATATGTTAGGAAAATTCACCATATTTATTCACAGTGGATCTGGGGATATCGCGGCGTATCAGTTGCAGCAAAAAGGTACTATGCTTACTGTCAAGATCAGATTCCACCTTCATGGAGAACAGACACTATTAACAATCTAACGAACATCAACCTTGAGTCAATTACTATTAAATCAGATTCCCCACTTCTTTCAATCGTTACTGGAGTACCCCTAAAACTCATCCTGTGGGCTACTGTATGGGAAACCAAGCTGAGTTGGTAGATAAAACGCTAGCCTGGTGTGTCATTGTTAAACCGGAATACTCAATGCCTACTGGTATGAGTATGGACCTGTCTTTTTGTTGGTTACTGTTGTATTCAGGGTCAAGCGGTGGATAACATGTGTTGTATCATAAAGTATCATGTCAGAGTGGCGTTCATGCTTCTCATGTATGGGTAAAATCTGTGGCTGTCGCAAGAGGTATAAGAAAAATGGGAAGCCCAGTAATATAAACTTCTCTGTATCCAACGAATTAAATTAAGGTTGAAGTGACCACACAGGGTGAAAAGGATGATGCCAACAGTGTATCCGGACTACAAAGGCATACCCCCTTATGTACCCCCAAGGAGAAAATAAAAGTTGTCGATGAAGCTCTAGAATAAGCAAATCATACGATATTGGAGAAGTCTAGAATCACAACTAGAATGATCATATTGGAGTCTCAGCTGGAGCTACGTGACCGCTAAAGCGATCCCGAAGCTCCCAGGTAAGTTTAACGAAAAACGTCTCAGAATGGCTCTAGAACAGCAGTTTCAGTAGACTTGTAATAGGGAAAATTTCACACCTGGACTAGCACAGGAACAGCAGGAGCGGCACCATTTTTTGGCCCAAATGGTCTCGCTTAGGCAGTTCCTATACTACTATTCATGTAAAAAATACCTTCATCCTGAATAATTTTAGTCTGTACAAACTGTTAACAAAACGCTTCAAATGATTTACCATACAATGGAGATATACCTTTGGACGACGTTGCTTCTGGATCCTCCTTCTAATGTGTCGGAAATGAAATGTAATTCTTATAGCATTGTCTGTGATACTTCATTTCCAAGGCAACGCAATCTTTTCCCTGAATTTGCATTAAGGTTACTTCACATGATGAACGTGCGTTTTAGTCTATTGAACATGGCGCAACGAATTTTAGATGTAACTTTACCAAATTTTTAGTGAAGAAAGCCAAAAAATTTCTGATTGCGAAAATATTTATTTGATGGGTGTTCTATTTAAACATGCCCAGTATTGGCTGACTAAAAAAATATATAGATATCCCATAAAAAAATCAAAATATATTTATAGTTTATCTCAACGTTTGTTTACATCTATCGATTTGAATCTTCATAGGTACGGTTAAAAAAACGTGTGCGGAAAATTTCTCTTCTTCAATGGTTTTTCTGATATGACGTTTTCTTTGACAACTTCGTGAATTATCAGTGACAAATCCAAGAATCAGGGCTTATCAGAAAAACCACTAAAGAAGAGAAATTTTCCGCATACGTTTTTTTTACCTTGCCTATGAAGATTCGAATTTCGTTAACTAGACAATCGTTGAAGTAAACTATAATCATATTTTGATATTTTATGTAGGTACTTATATACTTACTCAGTCAGCCAATACTGAAAATGTTTAAACAGAACACCGATCAAATGAACATTTTCAAAATCATCATTTTACTGGCTTTCTTCACGGAAAATTTGGTAAAGTTACACCTAAAATTCGTTGAGCAATGTCAAATAGACTAAAACGCACGTTCATCGGGTGAAGTAACCTTAAAATGCTTTCATCACACTTCAACGTTGCTGCTTTTCGTAGCTGACCCATGGCCAGAAATGGAGTCCAACATGGCTGCCAAGCATGCGCATTTTGACTCAAAATAAGAATTCAAAATGGCGTCTTCTTATATAATTTGAATGGGAATAATGCAAAATTTGTATTTTTGATAACGGTTGAGAAATCCAAAATGTGCATATATAAAACTTCACCGATTCTGTTCAACTTTTATCCGTAAAAAAATTGGTACCACTCGAATTGTCTAAGTATGTTCCCGAGCAATCGATATCTTTGCCTAGTCTCTGCATAGGAAAGTATGTGATTTCGACATATTAGGTATTTTGCAGGTCCAATTTCAACTCGTTCTTTACAGATATCGTCAAATGTGCATATCTGAATTGCTTCGCACAGTATTCCTCTTTATTATTGTCACTTGTATGAAGCGTAAAAGTATACACTAGTATGTTCCCCAAAGCGATGAATTGCATGTATTTTGTAGAGAGGTGTCTGTCCATTTGTGATGAGAAATGCACCATATCTTGAACAAAAATATCACAAATTTCGCACCAAGAGTTATATTTGTGTCCGCCATTGCTTTTATAAAGCTGTTGCTACGTTACAATGGTTTTAACCGCTGTCAGTATAGGCTGTAGTCTCGTAAACATTCTAAAATTAGCCGGATTTCGTAATAATTTTGATTTGCCGACTTCAAAACATATATAACTATTGAGTATTGGTAGACTTTTGAAATGTGAGCGTCGATCAAGACTCGGTTGGCGTAAAGTTTGTTATATTTTATAAATTTGCTTGTTTTCTATATATCTGGTTGTATTTGCAATGTCGGATATTGCGCCATATGTATACTTGCTTGCAATGGAAATTATGTGTTGAAAGCCATTCATTAGCTAATCTCTTCTTATTTTCAATTTATAAATCTGCCGTGCTCAGATTATTTAGTTCTCGGTAACTCACTGAGCTATACTAGTAAAAATAAGCAGCCATTTTGCCAAAACTGAACCACTGATCTGTATAGTGCACTGAATTATCAAGAAAACATGAGCCCGCACGCCCGACCGCTTGATGTCCTCCATTTCTGTCCATGCCACCATCGAGTGTTTCAGCCGAAACAAGATTGTCCAATTTTCGCTTTCTGCTTTTCTATAGAATTAATGATACAATCGGGGGATTAATAATTGGAGGTTTACGGTATTTAAATTACCGGCCATATGAAGGTTGAAAGTTTTAAATGAGCAGAAATTGGCATATTGAGTTAGCAGAATTGACAATACACGGACGAAATAAAAGCAAAAAAGGTTGACTTACCAAATCGGTGTAATATAAGTCCTTCTTCTTGCAAACTATACAGACAGGAGGTAACACGTGCTCGTTCCTTGATCTAGTAGCACTAGTGGACGCCGCTAAACTTGTTCGGAAAACTTTCTTCGGGATAGGACCACTACAGCCTTGGTCAACCGATGCCAACGGGGATTTGATCTCTTTTTCAGCTTTTTGCGTCTTGCTTCAGCACGAGTAGCATTTGGGATGAAACGCCAACTCTTTACAATTTTCATAGCGATCTTCTTCCTCGATGCTTATAATTTGAGTTGTACGTAATGCTATGTCTTTCTGACGGCCGTCAAGTTGTATTCATTGCTTCCGGTATTCCGGAAATCTTTCGAATGAAACCTCTGTAAAATTTGTAAGTGGCCCGACACTGTCTTCGCAATGAATTAAACATGCATTTCCCAATTCTGCCATGTTCAGTCGGCCATGACGAAAACCTCTTTGTTAATATTACATAAAGTTTCCAATAGTGAGCACCTTTTCAGTGCATCTTACATCAAGTTTTCAGAGAAACAAAATGGCGGGTTTCGAATTTCGAGGAGCGCCAATTGTTGAAATTCAAACGCAAATTTATGAAAAACTGCAGGTTTATAGAAGTGCCAACAAGCAGAATTTTGAAAGGTGTGTAAGAATCTATATATTCTGTGATTTTGACGTAGTCTCCGAATGTGTCCAACGAAAATTGTTTTCTAAGCGACTTTTTGGCCTTGGGAATACGACTAAATGCATTCAGTAAGGTTTGATGTGTTTTAGTTGGAGCAACATTGATTGGGGTGGGGGGAGGGGGAGGGGGAGGGGAGGGGAGGGGAGCGGTATTGTGTGTAAAAAACTGTAATGATCCACTTATACAATCTAAGACTACATGTGTCCCAACAACTTCTGAAAGTGATTGTAGGAAAATCAATTAAGCATAATTCAAGATCACCAATTTCAATGTTTTTAACATTTTAAATTCCTAGTTAGTGTTTTCAATTAAAAGGGCTGAAATGCGCCTTAAAAACCATCGTTCAAAAGGCTGAACTGTGCTTTTAATTAATTCTTGTTCATAATAATTTTTTTGGATAATCTAATTACATGATTTAGTTTTTTTATATTTTTTGTATACATTCTCATTTATTTTACTTGAATCGGATAAGTGTTTTTTGTGTAGTTTATTTTTCTTTTTGATTTATTTTAAAACACATTTTGTCATCCGTGGACTTCTATGTTTATTAATGTTCATTTTTACTTTTGCTCTTTTTATCGGAATTTTTTTTTCATACCTACTCGTGAATAACATTGAAAACTGATTAAAGGACTCACATGGGTTATTAGAAGAAATCGTGCCTTCCCAAGATAAATGTTCAATTTCATCTGAAAATAAATTTAAGCTATTTTTATTATATATATTTTTTTGTATAGTATTTTTCTTCTGTATTTTTTGCTAGGTTTTAGTGTATCCAAACAACATGTATGAACTATTGGTAGATGATCTGTAATGTCACTAAAATAATCCAATTATACTTGAGGTAATCTTATCAATCTTGTTCGTGAAAATATTGCTATAAGTGGGTAAAAAGAAGATGTAAAAAGTTGCTCGGTGAAATTATTGGCAAAATCACAAGATTCTGATTTAAGCAAATCGATATTAAAGTCTCCCATAAGATAGCAGATCTTATTCTCTTTGTCTAACTTGCTCAAAATTTGGTTCATGGCGTTTTCAAATGTTTCAATTTTAATATTTGGTGGCCGGTAAATTACCCCGACTATAATATTTTTCCCATTTTCAGTGGCTACCTCTATAAAAGTGGATTCAATTGTTTCGTATATGTTAATATTTAGATCTTTACGTAGTTTGTATTTCAACCTTTCAGCAATATATATACCTACACCACTACCTTTTTTATTTTCTCTGTGCCCGCTCGTGAAATCATAACCTTCCAAGTTAAAATTTTTGTAGTTCGTTTCACCTAACCATGTTTCTGTTAAGCCAATAATCTCAAAGTTTTCCTGCGTAGACTTGATTAACTGTTTAAGCATGTCAAATTTAAGTTCTTTGAATGTTTGCATGCGAGAAAATATAATTGTTTTTGTTTGTGGAAACACCACGTAAATTTATTACTGCAAAGCTTTCGATTCTTAAGCCCGGATCTTCATCAGTGCTAATAAATTATGTCAAATTCATTTACGATACTTTTTATATTCAAGCATAGAACTGAGAAATTGTCTAGTTGACCTGATTTTGTAACACTTGTATGTGTTTTGAAGTGTTCCGGTATAAAATAATCGCATTTTAATTTAGAACATTGTCTAAGTTCACATTACTTTCACACATCGCTATGTCTTTATTTAAATAAAACGGATTAAGTTTCAGCTGACTTAATCTATCCATATCTCTCTTTGACAAATTATTATTATCAATTGATTCGAACTCGTCATTTGAAAGCGTTTGAAATGGCAGAGTATTTTGTAAACAAAATTGGCATAAATAATTTTTTTTTGTCATTAAGATTTGATGCTTTTATGCATGAAATGCCCGCATGAAATTATTTTAGGCATGTGACGCATTCCATATGATTTTCATGCTTTTCAATAAGCTTAGTGCATGAAGAACATTTACTTAAAAGTAGTTCTGACATTTGGGGGGTTATATCTGACATTTACATATAAGGAAAGATTTATCTTATATATATAATAAAGTACTACATTAAACTATGGATCATTGTGATCAAATTGAATTTGGATATATAAAGTATATACCGTAAATATTAATGTTGACCACCTGGTTTGAATACTTTACCATCTATAATAAGTTTGTCCCGCATTGACTTTGCTTTTTTCCCCTCTTGTTTGGCCTTCTTTAATTCTGGATATAATTCCTTTCGAGCTTTAATAATTTCTGCTGGGAATTGTTCCCCTATTCCGATATTTGTTCCTCTTAGTTTCATCTCATTCCGACGTATAGTCTCCCTGTCTTGGTGATAATTGAACTTCGCGACAATTGGCCGCGGCTTGCTTGCTCCCGGTTTTGTATAATATCCACAGTTATGGGGGTAATACAAACCAATGAAGTGGACATGAAAGAACGTGTGTTGCTTAATATTCCAACCTACTTCAGACAATATTTAGCGCGATAATTTTAAAATATTTCACGGCGTACCCTACATATATATATATATATATATATATATATATATATATATATATATATATATATATATATATATATATATATATATATATATATATATATATATATATA